GTTTAACCACTGATCAAGCATGGCTTGACTGTGGTCGTTTAAAAAAAATCAAGGCATCATCCTCAATCTGTACAACATACCATCTCAATCCATCTCATAACCCTCAGGAGCTCCATCTTTGCTATGTGGTGGATGCGTGTTCATCCTGGGGTCTCTACGGACTCGAAGACCAACAGCGTGGACAGCGCGAAGAAGAGACGAAGTGTGCCGCCTTGGACCGTGGCGGTCAAGTGATGCCTTGTTCGGCGAAAGGGAGTTGGTCCCTTGTTCATCCCCGACGTGTTTTTCCGTTCTGATTCTGAAGAGTGAGTTGACATGGAGAGGCTCACACAATCAGGGTGGCTTGGAAGAATGTGACTCCAACCATCTCCCAGTTCTGCTCCTGCGGTACCACCGAAGTGCCGACCAAGTAGCAACCAGCGACTCGCCGTCGCATGGATCACGTACTCGCGTCACGTGCGCCCGACCAGTTTTGAGACGACTTGGTAGGGTCTTTGATGGTTGACATTGTACCATGTTGTACTGAACGGTACCAGTCTGAGGTTCGACTTGGCAGGGCGAGTCTGAGATTCAGTCTTGGACTCCGTCCTTGTCACGAGTCACGACAATGTCACTTCTTGTTGTTTCTGGTTCACCCATGGAATTCTGATGGCAAAGCTGCATGGTGTTTGATTCCGCTGAAGGTATCAGCTTGCTTCCACATGCCTCAACATGACTCAACATCTGCATCAAAAACTGATCCCTGGCAAACAGCAAGAGGCTTTTTGCGTCGCAAGCAGCAAGAGGCGGTCTTTTTTTTTGAAAATCTCCCAAAAGCATCCTTTTGATCGGACACACTCTGGGGCCTTGCAGCCTTGTCCTCTCGAGCTTGCTCGGTGAAACCCTCATGGGGGTGATCAACTCGCTCCTCTGGCGAGTGACTCCTCTTTCTCATCAAGGGCGTCAAAATCGAAGATGCCACCACCTGGATCATTCACCAGATCAAAGCTGGCGAATGCGAAAGCGACAAAATTCTGCTGCTGTAAACGCGGTGTTCACGTGAAAGATACAACATGCCGGGTTTGCCAGATGGCACAATGACCTGCGGCCCGGCAGAAACGGAACGTCGCTGCCAGATCTCTCGCGCCGTGCTCGACCGTCTCCCGCTGCGCTCGACCATGCGGGCGCATTTTTTGTCGAAAAGCGATGCGCTCGCTGCACTCGGTGGAGGGCCCGCTAGGCGCTGAAGTCGTAGCCACCGGACGTGGCCAAGAAACTCAGCCATGCCTCGAAAACCAACTCCGGTCGTGTCTAGCTAGCAACAATTCTGAAAGAATGGATTTGAAATGATTTGATTTGATGTGAGCTTTTTGCGAAGCCACAACCGAAAAAAAAAACTCCAGTAATCGTTGGTCGATGCTTGCTAAGTGGGTGCGTGAACCCGAGGGGTTTTCGTGAACCCGCCGCGGGCCGTGAAGCAGGTCCCACCTTGAATGCTCCATCCACGCCTCCTCGACCAGGTCCTGCGGAGGAAGGCAGCGTTTGATCAGCGAAAGAACAGGAGTGAACCTAGGTTCTGAGGCTTTCCATCAGTTGATCGTTTGTCTGCTATGATCAAGTGGATCAAGTGGTTTTGATCAGCTATCGCTCTCGCCATTGGCATACACAGAAAGGAGTGTGAGAAGATCTCAAATCCTGCGTATGTCTACACAACTGTCGCTGGCAGGGGTCAGTGCATTGAATGAGAAAGAACATACCCACGTGCTAAGACATTTACGAAAAGACAGGAATCATCCGATTCTAAAGATTCTAAAGTTGGGAAATGGAGGAAAACATCGATTGGCACTTGGCACGCTATCTTTCGAAGACTTCTTCCCCACAAAATCAGCTTCCGTCCTTCCGTCGCCACGGTGAGGGAGGCGCGGATGCCGGTGCCCTCACCACCAGTGGGATGGAGCACAAGCATGTCCTCCAACCTGGCGCTGCTCCAAAATGGCTATGGAAAAATAGATCCAAGGAATTCCAAGGGCCAAAAAAAGGCCTGGACGTGTTACTTCTGTTCATCTATCGCTTGGCTTCCCTCCCTGTTTTCCCGACCCCGGGAGAAGGCTCGATGCCAGCTCAGCACCTCCCCAAAAAAACGCTGGTACTAAGTGCCGCCCTGGCACGGAAGTCGAATGGCCGAGTCGATACTGCAGCAGCCGCGTGAACGGGCAGAGACCTGCACCGTGCGGAGTCGAATGATTGGCCCCGCGTGGGCGGTCTCTGCGGCTCCGCTCGAGGGGTCAATGTTTAGCGCGTTGCTTGGCATCACTGACTTAGCTTTTGACACTGTTTGTTGGTACTGAAGTATCTTATAGCTACAGACGCACTTAAATGTTGATATGGTTTAATACGGTTTAGTTGGTGTTTCCCAAAACGTTGCGACTTCACCGCCCCGCAGTCCTGGCGGCCACCATTCGACGCTAAAAGCTGCAGGGTCAGGGCCTCAAGGATCCAAGGCATAGCTTCTTGTTACTAGTAGTAACAATGATCCTAGTAGCGATGCCAGGAGCCCCTAGTAGCGTCCTTGCTCCTAGTAGTAAGGCCAGGAGCCCCTAGTATTGTGTCCACCAGAGGTGGCTTTATTCTAGAAATCAACAAGCTTGAAAAAACAAACGATAAAAAAACAAAAAATAAGTAAGCAAACCAAAAAAGCACCAGCAAGACAAAGAGCAACCAAGAAAGCAAGAAAAAAGCCCAAAAAAAAGTGCAGCCAAAAATGCACAAGCAAAACAAAGAGCAACCAAGAAGGTCAGAAGTCGCACTTTTGGTCGCTTTTGTTCCCCTTTTTTTCCCAGGGCCGGGTAAAAAGTCGCACTTTCGGGTCGCTTTTTGTTCGCTCTTTTTTCGTTTTGTTCGCTTTGTCTTTTGCTTTTTTTGAACGAAAAAAGAGCGACAAAAGAAAGCGACCAAAAGCACCAGAAAGTGGACCCTCCCCCAAAGCGCGCCAGAACGTGGACCCTTCAAAAAGTGCGCCAGAAAGCTCGGCTGAGTTGTTCCATGTTTGCTTGCAATGTTGTTTGCTTTTTGTTGCTTTTATGATTTGCTTTTGTTTTTCTGGTTGCATTTGTGATTGTTTTTTTTGCTTGTTTTTCTCTTTTTTCAAGATGATAAACTTCTAGAATAAAGGGGTCTGGCAGACACAACCCTAGTAGCGTTCTCTACCCACTTGAAATGTTAAAATCAGGAGACCTCCCGGTTCGAATTTTGGAAGAAGGGAAATGGACCTTCTATATAACATACCAAAAACCTATCCAACACTTATTGGTTGCGGGGGGGTCTTCCATTGCTATCTAGAGCTATGGTCATTCAGCCACATCCACTGTGAACCAGGCTGAAAGACACCAACACACCCGTTTGAAGGTAGGAAAAACCATGAGAACAATCACGACAACACTCTGATCTGCTGAGATTCCCGAAGCAGTACTCTCTCAGCTTCTCGCGAAGGGTACCAAGCGAGTCGACGCGGTCCTCGACGGGGGTTGCTTGGCAAAACGGATCCGGTCTCATCAAACGATTTCTGGTAGACACATGTAGACATGGTCATTGTCCCTACCCGGCACTGGCACTCGAAATCCACTCGAAGACGAGTTAAGAAACGTGTGGCTTCGCCCGTTTGGGGTCCAAATCGACCTTCTCCATACCGGGGCCGAACTCGAAGAACCGATTGGAAACTGAGACCGGCGCCGTCTTCGACCATCGCCGTCCTCCGAATCAGAAAAGGCACCATGACTGGTGACTGAGAACAGAACTCACCGTGTTCATCCTTTTTTTCATCCATGTCCTAAGATTCCAAAGTGCTTTACGAGGTCCCATGAATGATTCGGAGTTCACTCGACTCTTGACGAGTGTCGTCCTGTCTCTTGCAGAGGTCTGAAGAGAGCTGGTCGTCTCCACTGACATGTTAGCACAAGGTCTCACTCTCCAGGAGTACGAAAAGAAAAACCCACTCCTATCGCAGCCGAAAACCCACTCCTTCGTTGGTGGTGACCCCGGTGAGGATGAACCTCAAGAGCCAAAGAGGCCGCATCCCGTGAAAATGCCCCATGAAGCGCATCTGAAGGGGCTTTCGTTTCTGGATGTCAGTCATATTTAATGAGTTTCATTCGCAAAAGCCACCGCAAAAGCTGCTACAAGTCCTGCTTGCTTGCCTAATCTTGCTTCGCTGGAGAGCTTCCCCGATCGACAACGATCGGCGCCCCGGCCGGGGCGTGAAGGGCGTGGAGCCTTGGTTGCCTGAGCCTGGCATCGGAGCACTTCCCGGGCGAGGTCTTTTCGAAAGAGTTGGGGAGGCGGGGGCTTCGAGAGGCTTAGAGTTTTATTGTTTCAGCTTCAGAGAAGCCATTTCTGTAGCTTCGAAAGAGAAGCCACCAGCCAAGGGTTTAAAAGGGTCCAAAGCAATCAGATGCTGAAGTGGATCAAGGATGGCTTCGGGGTTCAGGATCCTTCAACATGTTCACGGCTTCGGCGGCCATGTGTTGAGACCTCGTTAAAGGTCCGTGCTTCCTTCGCCATCACGGTCCGGGGTTCCACGACGGACGATGGACGAATGCAGAAAAACAGGCGGCAAAGACGCGAATGGCTTCACTCAGGAGAGAATCCTCACCGAGCTCAAGCCTCGGGGAAGGTCGAGGATTGGGAAGTTTACGAGGCATGTCAAAATGGATAGAAACCGTATGAAAGCAGGACAAGCAGGTTCAGTACCTCGCTCCAAATGCTTGAAGGATCTTGAAGGGCACGTGTTTTATTGCTGGAGAGTCACAAAAATGTAACAACATAACAACATGATAACAGTACATATACAGTAGTGTACAAAAATGGTAACAACAATATTAACACTAAAGCCCTTGCCACCGGCAGCAAGGACCATCAAGCTTCCGTTTGTCTGGGAGCCCCTCACCACATCAGCAAGCCGCCTTTGGTCCGAAGGGCCGCCCATCCAGCCTCTGCGCGGTTTGTTCCGCTGGTAGCGGCCCCTAGTAGCTTCTTGTTCCTGGTAGTAAGGCCAGGAGCCCCGTTCGTAGCGGAAAAAACGTCGGCAATGGAAGGCTCCCAAATCTGAGAAAGTCCGGACTGAGAACGTCAAATCGCTTGGACGCCCTGTTGAAAAGCCCTGTTGGATCTCTTCGTTTCACTCTTCACTCTTCCAACAAAGGCCGTTCACTCCCGACATCTCCTGTGGGCCCACGCGGGTACTCTGAAAAGCTCCTCTCCATCTTTGTAGCAGAGTGAGGTTGAAAACGGCGCCTGTCGGGGACGGGAAGCAAGCTCGCGCGGAGCCCCGCGCGACCCGCGACGGAGCGCTCGGAGCCGACGGCATGGCCTGGTAGAGATGCACCTGGCAAGTCGCACAGTGCCGGCCCGCGAGCCTCGGGACGTCAGAGACTTGAGCAAAAAGCCTCTGCGAAGGGCGGCCCTAAGCAGAGTACATCAGAGTACACGACACACCGACCCCGTGGGGCGGCCCAAATGACAGACAAAGCTTGAGCGTGTTCCAGAGAGTTTGTCGCAAACACATCAGATCAAATTAAGGCTATTAGGGTTGGTCCCTGTCAAAGCACCAAAGTGGAGTTACGGCGCTAATGGGACCTGAGGCGCCCCACAAGAGCTGAAGCGACCTGGGCGAGAGAAGGATCACTTGACGCACCCACAAAAAGGGGTCCTCCGACAGCATCTGCCATATCACAGCGATCTCTACTCTACATGATGGTTGTCCTAGACTTGTATGGAAAAGAAAAAACCAAATTCTGCCCAAAGTACTTGCGTGAAGGATGGTGAAGGTGAGTGTTCCATCATGTTCCATCTATATCTGACATCTTCCACCACTCCCGACCCGTCTCTTCAGGCGTTCACGGCCGCTTCATGCCACTGCGTGCGGGTCTCACACCATTGCTTGGGACCGCCCCCCTGAGCGACCACCGTCCTGGAGCGACCGCCACCGGCGACGCGCATCCGCAGAGAAGGGGGGCCATGGAGCTGGTGAAATGCATGGGTACAGGTAGTACTACGGTAGTACAGGTGGGGAGAGGGCTGCAAACCAACGAAAAAACAACTTTAACCAAAAAAAAACAAATTACCTGTGGTCACTGTGGTCGCATGGTGAAACCAGGGAATTTCACCTGCCAGCTTCCACTGATGGTCCACCGCCCGCGCTCAGGCTCTCACCGTCCATCCATGGGAGATACCAGCATGGATGATGGAGAGTTGGCCTGACAAAGACATACAAAGACCAAATCTCCAGCAAGCATGTACACGATGAATGAAGCTCAATCACTTGCAAGTGAGTCTCAAAGACTCAACAAGCTCCAGAGTTCTGAGTTCAACGCTTTTCCCATCCCCTTTCACATACTCGAATCTTCAGGTGGGTTGTCCCGAAAAAAGAAACTCCCCCCCACACTGCCATGGGATGGTTCACCCACCGGTGATCATCTTCCGTAAGAAGCGGTGGGAACGTACAGTCAAACACCCCACAGGCATGCTGGCACGAGGTGCCCCCAAGACTCTTGCCTCAATGTCTCCAAAAAGAGAGAAACGACTACATACCGACGACGACCTGAATGGACAATGGACAGTCATGGCAGAAGCGTCGCACCTGGATGGTCCTAAAGGCTGACGGAGACGACCGCGTCGCAGTGAGGACCTGCACCACCGCGCGTGAGCGAGGGACGGCGCACCGAGGGACGGCGGACGACGGTGCCGGCGCACATCCCAAACCGCCTGCGGCGAAGCCACCACCGGCGCCGTGTACTGCACCGCAGGCGCGGCCGGTGCCACACTCGGCCTTGAGGTGAAGGTGAGTGGAAGGACTGGAGAAGCAATGAGAAGCGAGCAGAGGAAAGAAAATGAAAGAAATGTGTGTATCTATCTTTGTGTTTCTATTCTTTTTTAAGCATATTTACAAAAACATCCTTCTCTGTTTGACCTGAATAAAGTTGTTCCGTTGTGCTCGAAAACATCACTTGCTCCAGTTCGAGGCTCTCCCCGCTGACTGGGAGGCTTCTGGACATGGTTTCCCACAAGTAGCCAGCTTACACATGGAAAGCCCGCTGATGTGGTGCCTTGCGAGTGCAGGAACCACATGAAACACTGAAACCAGCTCTGGGAGCTTTGGGAAGGTAGGCAACGTCAAGGGATGAGAGACCAAGATCTGTCCGCAACGCGTCCTTCTCAGGTTGTGGCCAGACATAAGGTGCAGGGCACGGTGACACCTTTCGTTGGCGAAGCAACGAGAGGTTTCCAGACTTCGAAGCTTCGAAGAAGTCTGGACCATCTAAACAAGACCCTACCAGATTCACGGAAACTATATTATACATGTATAGACGTCTGTAGCAAAAATGGCCATTAGAAGACGACCCAATGGCTCTCTAGTTTACTGTAGCTTATCCATGCTTATCCATCTTTCATCCTGTTAAGGGGGGCCCATATGGCACTCGCCACCCGCGACCGAGCGCCACACTGCTCGGTACTCCACCGAGCTGGGCAGCGACGTGAAGCGCGCCACTGGGGAGGGTCCTTGGAGGCGGGACGCGAAAAGCAGGCCGGGCCAAGGCCAACGCCAAGGCCCTTTTGAAAGGAAGAAAGGGAGCTGATTCAGGATTCTGGGGCGGGGGTTGGAACAGTGGACCAGCAGCTGCGGTTTCGCACATCCATCATGCGTCCAGTGCAGCTCAGAAGCTCCGTAGCAACGCCACCATGGACGCCGACACGCTCTGCGGCCGCACGACCTTCCGGGAGCGGCGCGAGAACGCCCGGCCCGGCCCGGCCCGGGGGCGATTTCAGGTTGAGACTTGGGAATCCTCAGTGAGGAAGGCCTGGTAAGGGTGAGAAAACACACATATGTATCTGCTAAAACGAAAATGACTTGGAAGAGCAAGGAATCATGATCAAACATAGTCATCGAGGAAATTGAGTCAACTGAGTTGAGTCAGGTGAAGAGGCTGTTGATCTCTTCCAATCATGTCCACTCATAGCCAATCTAACATGTGATGCTTCTCATATTCACATGGATCTCTTCAAAAAAAAAGAAACGTGCTCTTCGTTCTGAACAGTTTTTGAGGTTGAGGAAATCATTGGGGAGTGTCCTTTGTTGTCCTATCAAGCCACTGGCTCCTGTGGATGTTTTAGTGATAGCAAGCAAGGATCGAAAGTCCGGCCAAGGCAACCATGACAAAGGTCAGTGGATACAGCCAAAGTCATGATTGCATCCAGTCCTACCACGCAAAAAACGAGGAGGGAAGTTCCACCAATCTTTTGGCACAGAAAAAACAAGTTCCACATCGTCTCAAAGCGAGCGCAGAGCGCACGCACCTGGGGTGTGTCCATGATGGCCTGGCGGCCGGTCTTGGCCATTCTGCCAGGCGAGCAAACTAGCAAGGAGAGCCGATTTGGGTGGGTTTCTTGGATCTTCAGAACCTATCAGAACCCGAACATGGCACTGTTTGTTGCTCCAAATGATCCCCAGATCTTCTTCTCCTTTACCTACCCGGCCTACCCCAAAATCGAAACGCAAAAAAAAGACGCTGCGGGGCGCCTTCACCGCCATGGCCTGCGCACCCTCGGAGCATTGGTCGGCCTGGATGCGCCCCGCGTGTAGCGCCGCCGATGGCGATGACGTTAAGGACATCACCCAGACCATCGATATATGACCTTATCGACTTACATTGGGGTGGTTGACCTGGGGTCAATCCATATAGGCATCATTAGGACATGGGATGCTTTGGGTGAGGAAAAAGATCGTGGCAAAACTGGAGACCGCGAAGAATCAAGATCCAAGAGTGGTGCTGATAGCGGGGTTGCAAGCAAGGTTCGTTGAGCAATATGAAAGGAACATGATGAAGGTTTGATTTGCTTGTCCATCTCCTGTATGATCTGAAACCAAACAGGAGAGTTGTAAGATGGGAATGTTGCACATCTTCAAATCCTCGAAATCCACGAGTGGGTCCTCGGCTACGTCCTACCGCCGTCGTACCGACGTCGTACCATCGCCCTGGCCAGTCGCCTTGGCCAGCTCCACCGCCGTGCGCAGCTCCAAGCACCGCTGCCTCGGCACGGAGGCAGTAGTAGTAGTAGTAGTAGTAGTAGTCGTAGTCGTAGTCATAGCCATGGCCATAGTCATAGTATATGTCATAGTCATAGTAGTAGTCGTGGTGGTGGTAGTAGTGGTAGTATTCAGACCTCGCTCATGAGGTGTGAATTGTTTCCTACAATCAGTAGGGTGGCACCAAGAAGCTGGGAGATCGGTGAGCTATAGACACTTCACTACATCATGAATCTAGTGTCATAGTAGTTCCAGTCCAAGGTGGACAGACTCCAGCTTGGACGAACCCACAGTCAAACGGCCAGGACTTGATTTGTTTAGCAATTCACCTGTTTCGTCGTCGTCCAGGCTCCGACGAGTGTCACCAACGGCTGGGACGCCGACGCAGCCAGCTCCACCAACTTCCGCGTCTCTGCGATGTCCTGACGCCATCGGCCGTCGACGGCGCCCACTTGCGGGCCGTCTGACGCACCACCACCCCCCATTTCGCGCGGGGTAGAATTTGAGAATTGACCCCATGTCAAATTCACAGAATGACCACAAAATGCTGCACCTGAGTGGATTTATGGTGTCAAAAACCGGTCCTGTATCCGAAAAGCCATCTGTCCAAAGCGTCGTCCCCTTGCGCGGATCCCTCCCACTGCCTGCGACGTCTCGGACTCCTCCCTGCTGAAAACGTCAGCTCTCAGCGCCATGGCGCTGGACTTCCACGGTGTGTCCCAAAGGGTTCATGCGACTTCCAATGGTTGGCTTTTCCAGCTTCTCACCCGTGGGGGTGGTGCGTCGCATGGAAGGTTTGTGTGGATTTGGGCTTGGTGAAGCAAGTGGCTTGGTGGCTTGGTGTTCATCAATCCACATGGAAATCCCAAGGGTTGCTGAGTTTCTTGGCCCTCATGGCTGCGGTATGGCGCGCCGACCGTGGCTGCGGTATGCTGCGGTACGTGATGGGCCACGCCGCGTGTCGGCGCCGAGGTCCCGTGTCGGCCGTGTCGGCGTCGGAAGGCCTGGTCTGATCGCTGGCACTCCTCCAGCCTGGCAAGACATGGACAAAAGAAATGGACATGAACAAGGAAAGGGATGAGTGGGGCATCTCGTGGTTCATCTAGCGTCCGATCGCTCCGTTCGTTTTGTAAGGCCAGGAGCTCCCCCCCGTTCGTAGCGTCCGATCGCTCCTAAGAGGACACATGCTTTTTGACCAAAAACAGCTATAAGTCGATACTGGTCGTGGATGCCTCACAGGATCGGACTCGGAGCTCGCGCTGGGCCTGCAACGGTGGCGGCGGAAGAGCTCAACCCCACGACACACGAACGAGCACGAACATAAAGGAACAAATCAGAATCGGTTATACTCAAGGATGTTCACTCCAGAAACCTCAAGAGGCTGTTCCAAGGCCTTTTTGAAGGATGTTCGAAGTGGTACCCAGCCCGCCACTCGCCTGAGACTCTCCTGCACTGAGTGCTCGGGCGACCTGCCATTGAACAATGCATTCTCCCTGGTAAATGGGTAACTCACAAGTTATGAGCAACAACTTTAGTAAGCAACAACTTTAGTAAGTGTTCTTAGTTTTTGGACGCTCGGTGTGACGAAAAGATCTCGGCCCCTCAACCTCTCGCCTGGATCTCCCGTTCACCTCACTTCGGCCCAACCTGGACCAAACATGACCGAACATGGCTTGAAAGCAGAGGGAAACGGATCGGCGGACACGGCCGTGCTCTTCGTCCTTCCAAAAAACCCTCCTTTCACGGCCTTCTGAGCTGAGCGGGAACTCGAAGCCACGTGCCAGCTACCCACTTTAAGGTAGACATGACAAGACTCCTTCTGTTGAGATCGGTGACGATCTGGGAGTCTCGAAACGGTCTAAGGGATTCTGATTCGGTCTATAGCAGACCAAGCTAAGATAAGCTAAGCATGTTAAAGCATGGGGCTCTGAATTGGGGGTCAAGCAACTATCTCAGGTTTCGACAGCACTCACCAAGTTCTGATAAGTTCCTCATGGATTTCCCTTGTCCCTCCTATGAAAGGTGGCCACCTTGCCCACATCCAAAGCTTAAAAGTTTGTACATAGTTCCACAGAACTGCATATAGCGATTGTTTCGCGTCCACCTATTTCGCACTAAAGTGATCCATCTTCAAAAAGTTGGTACTGGGCGGATAAGTGACCAAGGCCATGCGCTGGGCGCTAAACATGGACCACTCCACGTCGAAGACGATGATCTTCACGGCTCCATCGGGCCAGCGGCCACCAGCGAAGGTGCCCGAACGCCAGACCCAATCCGAATCGGAAGAGATCTCCAAGTTGCCCTCCTGCCGTTTTCCGTCAAAAAGGTATCCACAAAAAAGAACACACAACTGCCCCCCACAGCTTTTTTTGGAAGGTGGTAAAAACTCAGCAAGGGCATCCCAAAATGATCAACTCAATAACTCGACTTTACATCGATGTGTGTGTGGGTGTGTAAGACGGCACTGTGAGCCCATGTGAACCCAATGTCAATCCACATGGGGACTCGTGACGTTCTGTTTGCACACCGCATCGTCCTCGAAGCATAGGCGCTCCCCGATGTTCTGGGTGCCACTGTACCATGTGGCTGTGCTGTGGGTGTTGCCTTGACCATCACCGGGATAGAAGCGCAAGTCTCCGTCTCGAAACTCCAAGCGGGCACCGCCCGGCGTGGTCCAAGCGATTTCAGAGAGGCAGCCGTGCCAGGGAAGAATCTCAACCGAGGATGGAGCATCACGGGGGTAACGTACCATTGAATAGGGAAAGATCTCCGGATGACCTCCAGCTCTGGGCGGACTGAGCATGACCCAGTGGTGGTCGTAGACCTGCATCTTCCACCCACCCCAGGGCGCGACCCGCCCTGGATAAGTGCCCGTGGCCCACAACAGAACCCCCAAGTGACCAAAAAGCAGCAGGTTGCCATCCCACTGAAAGCACAAATGTGTTCCAGGATTCTTTTCTGGGTTGAAGCCACCATGGCAGTGGGCGCAAGTCCCACTCTGCCAAATGGCACCCGGCTTCGTGTGGCCTGCTCCGTCGCCTTCGTAGAAAGCAAGATTCCCATCCTTCCACTCCAACTTCCCGCCGCCGACCGTGGTCCATGCATGCTGGTGACCTGCCTCTTTGCAATGAAAGGGATAGATGCTTTCCGCGTACATGGTGTTTTGGGGTTGAGTGCTGCGCGGCAGCCAGCGCTGCAAGGGAAGTCCATCGGAAGGTTCTGACAAAGCCAAGCTGCTCCTGCAGAGTGGGTTTTGAGACCTGTACAGGTCCCCAAGCTGATCAGCATCCAGTTGAGTGAGCCCAAAGCGCTGCCCCATGTCTGCCTTGATTTCTTCACACAACGTGTGGTCATGGGTGTAATGCCAACAACTTTCATTCCGGGGTGTGATGGTTGCTTCCCCGTTTCTGGAGAAGCCATGCGAGCCGTAGTGCATCACCGACAAGACATCGTAAGCACGTTCATGGTCTGCCTCGTCCACCACCCGAAACTGGTAGAGGTATCTTCTCCCCTGGTAGATGTTGTCCCAGTTGATGGTCACGTAGTCATCACGATCTGGGCGACTCTGCTCGTGTGCCATCCCCAGTACATGCCCCAGTTCATGAATAGCAATGCCAAGAACCTCGCAATGGCCTCTGTTCTCAGGCTTTCGGGCCTGTAGATTGAGCTGCTGCTGCGTCACGCTGGGGTCCAAACCCAGATGGCTGCTGAAGCAACCATCATCAAAGGAAGTGATGATCACTGAAGGGGACTTTTCACACGAGAAGTCACCGGATCGGTTGGTTTGCTTGAACTGTATGCATGGCACTGCCTTCTCATACTCCAACATGGCCTCCTCAATCAATTTCCGGACGCTATCAGGTACATTGGAATGAAAGCAGAACGGCACAACTCCACCCGTCCACGGAGCTCCAGCCCCAAAGCTACCCGGAGCATCTGCGCCAGCACGATCGACCAAGGTACGAACTTCGACGGTCTGGCGCTGCGTCGAGTTCGGAATCACTCCATGCAGCACGTCGTTGTGGTCCGGGACGCCCAGACGCACTAGATCGTCCATAGTGACACTGATGCCCAGCCTCACCGCATCCAAGGGCGACACTTTGCTCTGCAGGGTGTTCAGCAAGTCCAAGATCTTTCCTTTGGATTCCTCGTCCATCCCCGGTTCCTAGGCCCACAAATTCAAACAGGCAATTGGCAATCACCTAAAACCAGGAAAAGCTGTAAGAGGGAGTGTAAGTTCAACGAGAATTGGCATGTGTACGAGCGTCAGAGTTCAATATGTCCCAAAAACAGAAAGCGCCAATTCTCAACTAAGAGGCTGGAGGACTGGCAACTGGATTCAAGGCCTGTTCTTTGCCACGGAGCACTCGCAAGAGCTTCGCCAACTCTGCAGCCTTGGAAGCCATCTGCCCAAACTGAGCCTTCTCAGCTTCCACATCGTCGGCCGTCTCTGGCTTGAACTGGGCCAACTCCATCACCTACGTGTCAAATCATGATTATGTCTAAGGCCTACTAAGAAGTCCAAGAATCTGCGTGGTTCAGGACACACGGAAAGCCAGAAAGCAGAAAGAAACTTGCACAGCCCACCTCATCCGAACGTCCAGTTTCAGTCGTGGGCATGAAGAAGATCACAGCCCAACCAAGAAGACACACTGAGAACAGCGTCCAAGCCATTCCGCACATCACTCGACGTGAAATGCTGCATGGGGCAGTCGACGCGACCGTCGTGTCTTGTGTCGGTGGAGACTCCACATCCAAGAGCGCCTGTCCATCTTCTGCCATGGCTGGGGCCCAGCTAGATTGAGTCAAGGCGCTTTCCACAATGGTTCCTAGTACGGCCTGTATGGCTCATCCACGGATCAATCTTGGCAAGTCATGTCAATTGCAACGTTGTGAAAGAAGATTGACAGGAACGAAACAAATGAGTTGGGAACCTCATAATTCATCACAGGACAATTCATCATTCATCACTCACAAAAGGACACAATGTTTGACCAGAAGATGGTGTCAAATGTCAAAACGATTGATTGAACTGGTCGCGGATGCCCTGACAGCAGCTTGATGCTCGCGCCTCACAGGATCAGACTCTGAGCTCGCGCTGGGCCTGCGTTGCAGGTGGTCTTGGAGCACATACGACTACCAAGCTTCCGCAGCAGCAAAAGTCCAGTCAAATGAGTGAGCACGAAAATAGGAACAAATCAGAATCGTCACTCAAGGATCTTCTGTTTAGGAGTCCTTCCCCGGTTCTTGGCCGAGAAACCTCAATCGGTTCCAAGGCCTTTTTGGAGGATAGAGCGGTACCCAGCCCGCCACTCGCCTGAGAGTCTCCTGCACTGAGTGCTCTGGCGACCTGCCAAACAAGGCCATTGAACAATGCATTCTTTGTGGTAAATGGGTAACTCACAAGTTATGACAAGCAACACATGTGACTTACTAATTGCTCTTCGTTTTTGCTGTCGCCGCTGTTAGCGACCCCAGAGGAAATCGCGACTTTTGGTGGGGTCGGGTTGGGTTGGGGTGGGGTGGGGCACGTGAACGTTCGCTTGCACTTACGTCACGAAGTTGATGCTTCGTGGTTGATGTGGGGTGGGGTGGGGTGGGGTGGGGTGGGGTGGGGCATGTTAACGTTCGCTTGCACTTGCGTCACGAAGTCTGGCGACAAGTGAAGAAATAATGTCCACCTCCTATTAATAAACCCCCCCCTCCCCCTTGATCAAGTGCGGGCCCCAAATAATGTAAAATCCACAAAAATCCTAGAAAATCTTGATTGAATTGGAAATGAAAGGAAAGGAATTAAAATTGAAATGACAATGAAAGGAAAGGAAATGAAAGGACAATGAAAGGAAAGGAAAGCAAAATGAAAGGAAAGGAAAAGAACAGAAATTGAAAGGACAATGAAAGGAAAGGAAAGGAAAATGAAAGGAAAGCAAAGGAAATTGAAAGGACAATGAAAGGAAAGGAAAGGAAAATGAAAGGAAAGGAGAGGAAATCACGAAAAGAACCAGACAGGGATTGTTTAGTATTATTTGAGGCCTGGAGTACTGGAGTAATTGAAGGTTTGGGCTGCTCGTGGGGTGGTCTTTGTGGGTTGATTTCAGGTTGCAAATTGCAATGCCCAAATAAGCAATTTTAAAAGAAAAAATGCAGCAGCCAAATCAGACATCCAGAAAGGATTGCCTTCAATAAAGCTCAAGCTGTTCAACCAAAAGGAAATCTAAATAAAGGAATTGTAAAGGAAACCGCCAAAAGAACCAGCCAGGGATTGTTTAGTATTATTTGAGGTCTGGAGTAATTGAAGGTTTGGGCTGCTCGTGGGGGGTGATCTTTGTGGGTTGATTTCAGGTTAGCAATGCCCAAATAAGCAAATTTAAAAGGAAAATGCAAAATTCCAGAGTAAAGGAAACCACAAAATACTGTAATCAGGTTTTGGAACCAGCTGAAAGCTCAGAATCAGCTTGGATGAATCAAGGTCTGGAAGCAGCTGAAAATCAAGGTCCAGAAAACATTTAGTATTATTTGAGGGCCATTTAATATTGGTGTTTGAAAAGATCTAGTATTATTCACGGGCCATTTAGTATTAGGAAGTCAACATTATGTGCCATACAGTCTGGCGACCCGCGAAGGTTTAGGACAGCGTGACGCAAAACGCGTCGACCAATATGTCCGCAGTTTTCAGTTTCGGTGGAACAAAAGGAGATTTGCTTGAGGCGTCGGCCCGAACGTGGCCGCAAGTGTAAAGAATATACACCTGCAAAACGCATGTGCGCCAAAAAAGAGTGCCCTTTCTGCTCTTCCCCATTCTAAATTCCACGTTACCAGTGCCGTCCCTTCAAAAAAATGGGATGAAACCACATATGATCCAACCTCTCCCAAATGAAAAAATAAAAAAATGGGAGGTTTTGAGCACTGTCCACTTCGGCGCTGTGCGAATCGCACGGGGTCGCAAAAAAGCGGCGGTACCTCGTTTTTGGACGCTCCGTGCGACGAGATCTCGGCCCCTCCATCTCGCCTGGATCTCCCGTTCACCTCACTTCGGCCCAACCTGGACCAAACATGACATGCCACGAGCCAGCGACCAGTCCAGCGACCAGTCCACGGTCCAACGATCGACTGGACGGTCTCCCAAACCGACGTCCCTGGCCTTCGGTCTTCCACCTGCGAGCGACGTCGTGCGAGCATCTCATGACGTGGCGTGCGGCAAGCTGAAGAAAGCGTTTTCCACCATCCATGGTCGGGTGAAGGGGATCACCTCATCTCTTGTATAGAAATAACTGTGCCCACACAAAATCGATCCCTGACAGCATCTTTTGCAAGTAAGTAAGGAGTAGTGTATATATATATATAGTAGCAGTAGCAGTAGCAGCAGCAGCAGGAGCAGGAGGAGTAGGAGTAGGAGTAGGAGGAGGAGGAGTAGTAGTAGTAGTAGTAGTAGTAGTATACGGTGGCAGATCTCCAAACTTGATGCGCCCGCCTCCTGGCGGCTGCGGTGCCTGCACCAGGAGCCCATTCTCATTGAAACGGTGTGTCATAGCTCGACATCCTATCCATTCCTTTATGGATGATTGCCAACGAAACGAAGAGGTACTGTGCTTTCCAAAGGAAGGGTGATACCAGTGATACCCCCAAGCATAGCCGGTTACAATAAGTATACCCATGCGGGTTTTTTCGAGTTCCCACCTGATTGGAGGGACCCATTTCACAAGTGACAAGCCCGGCCTCTCTAGAGCATCGACTCGCTCAGGCGACCTGCGCACCGCGACGCGTGCGATTCCGTCGGGCGTGCAGCTCGTGACCGGGCGAACAACGAATCGGTGGCCCGGTGAGCGAACAAACGAATCCACACTCATGAACAAACCATCTCCGGAATCTCTCTCCCACTCAAACTGTTGCAAAATGTTCCAAATCTTCCGAATGACGGCAGCGAACCCACAAGAGATGTCTCTTCTTCCATCTGTGTGGTCTTCCAGCTCTTCAAGCAAGTTGAGCTCCCGGGTGGCCAAGTTCGGGCCCCCCTCGTGCCGAGGACGAAGTCTGTGAAGTTCTCGTCGTCCCAGGCGCCCCGGTCTTTCGCCTGGACTTCCCATTCACACCATTCACGCCATTCACCATCCCGTAAGGCCTCGCGAGGAGTGAAGAAACCAAAACCGCGAGAAGAAGAGAGAAGAAGAGAGACACGAAAGAGATCGGCAACGTCTGCTGGAAACAACACGCGCGACGAGCGACGAACATGGCATGAAGGAACGCGAGAAGAGGCACGTGGACACCGTGGACTCTTTGAGCAACGTGGACTCTCTTCCAAGATCAGTCTCTGCGGAGACGTGTCATCTGAGCTGGCCACCTTGCACCGGCCTTCGAGGCTTCGAACGCCGAGAGGACAAAGCGCGAACCAAATCAAACGGAAATCGACTTTGGAGGATTTCCTGTGGTGTCCCACATGGAAGAAGGATGAAGAAGGCGTTCTCTGGGGAGAAATCCTTCGGATCCTTTGTGCCTGCACTTTGAGAACCCAGATTCCGTCGAATGGCTTTAGCTCACAAGTTCACACCCGCTGTGGAGAAGAAGAATTGCTCCAACCGAAAACACTTCGGTCCCAAATTGCCAGAGAGGTCTTGTAGATCCCAGTGACCCATTGACTCGGTAGCGGAGTCGGAGTCGCCCCGGTCCCAAAGCTTGGCCGGTCACCTTTCCACCACACAAGAAGTTCCTGTATGCCTCCACTCTGGTCGCAAGTCCCTGGAACCACGGTGGGCCCCCCCCCCCGGGCGGCCACAGACGCCTCGCATGGGGCTTGCGAGCCCACCGCAGGCTGCGGCGCGAGCGGCTTCAAGCTTTCCATCAGAGGCGGTGGCTGCACCTTGCTGCGGAGATGCTTTCCCTTGACAATGATGTGCAAATGTGTTCATCACATCAAATGATGTTCAACCCCAACACCACACCCTATGGTCCCCACGGACTCTGCTGCATAGAACAACAAGTCTGCATGTTGCTCCTGTGGCCCAAACCGCCGATCCCCGACGAATCAAGCCGCAACTCCAAACCGTTTGCATCAGATCCTTGACCGTGGTCCAGCTCACGCGGGTGACGATGGAGTCATCCATCATGAACCACCTGAGGAGTCGTTCCCACAAGGAGTCGAAGGACAGCCTGGGAACGACCTTGTGGACATCAACCTCTAAGTGTTGGTTGATGTGACCCTCACGGACAAGATGTAGATTTAGATCACCTTTGATATTTCTTGTTTGTTCGGGATGATGTTTAAAATAACAAAAGAAAAATGACCACCCTTTAAGGTGGACGGTCAAAACCAATTTGTTCGATCTATCTTGTTCCCGGCTGCACGGCCGTATCCTCACGTCTCTGCTACAATCATACTCTGTCCACTCAGGGCATGGCGTCCCAGCAGTCCGGACCTCACATCATCATCACAGTCCCAGCGACGTAAGTGACACAGGTTAAGTCCCTCACATAGGCGATGTAGTGCCCGAAAAAGGTCGACCGGTTCACGTCTTTGTGCACCTCAGACAGATGAAGCAACATGGATGGTGCACCCGATTCGCTGAACTGTGCCCCCCCTTCTTCTCTGGCAAGGCTGGCAAGGTGCGATCACGCCGTAGAGATCATAGCGAGTGTTGCCCGATTGCTGACTGCCCTTGGGCGAGTGTTGCCCGGTTCATGTCTAAAAGGCAAAGCACCTCTCCGCTTGGATCTGGGCCTCCAAGAAAGGTGACAAGTCCAAACGCTCAGGGAACCTCACACGATCTTCGCGACCGGCCGGCGGTCGCCAAAGCCCAACAGCTCAGGTCCCATGCTTGACGCTTCGATTGATCTTGCCAAAACGGTTCGTGTCCTGCGCAGTCGGTCACGCTATGATCCTCAAACGAATCAACGCTTGACAGATTCACAAACTGCCTTCTGGCGGGAAATGTAGACCACCAAGACATTGGGTTTGTTCTTGATGTAGGTGCTCTGCTCACAGCCTGTCCTGTTCTGAAGTCTTGGCTTGATGCCAGAAAGACGTGCATTGGAGATTCTGAAAGTGTTGGTATTCCATCAAGAACTGTCATGATCGAACGGTGCCACTTACAACCATCAGAATCAAAGGCCAAGTCTCCGAGAGGAGCATCGCTCGCATTTGTAGCCATCGATTTGCTCCGCCCTCACGATCAAAGAGCAATCGGAGATGTTGATTGTTGACCAATGTTTTTAAAAAATCCAAGACATGAATCAAGAACCAAAAATACAACGAACCAACCAGCTCGTCGAAAGGCGTTTTTGTCTTCCAGCGCCTGGCATAGGCTTGAAAGAGCTCCTCCAAGGTAGTGTCAGGTTCTCCCAAGGATCCATAGGGGCTGGAACCGTAGCCGTAGCCGCTGTAGCCGTAGCCGGTCGCCCTGGCGTCGGGCCGAACGTGCGCAGACGTTGGCGACGGAGCCTAGCAGTAAGGCCAGGAGCCCCGTTCGTAGCGTCCGATCGCTACTGAGCCCCGATCGTAGCTTCTTGCTCCTAGTAGTACGGCCAGGAGCCCCTAGTAGCGAGGCCAGATCAATCAGATTTGTTGATGAGAATGGAATTCGCACCCCAATCAAAGCCACATAGCCAAGGATTTTTGCGGTGAAGCTCGAGTTGGTGCAAACCGGCACACGATCTGTACATTTGCTGAGCCGAGTTCCGTGTGAATCCGAGAGCGGATCATTTCAGTTTGCACATCGTTCAGCTTCAGGGCCGCTTCACGAGCACAGTTTTCCTTGGCCACGGCATGGATTGCCACTCTTCTTGGAATTTCACGGGCCTGTTGAAAGGAAACGTGCTGTGTTATTTACTCTTGTTACACAGAGTTTACTTTATACCATTATATCATAATACAATATAACATAACATAATATAATATAGATAATATAGTATAATATAAGAATGTATAGTTCACAGTAAAATAATATAATAGACATAACTTAAGAGCTGGGTCAGCCTATTTGTCTGTTGACAGGTCAGGGCTATTACTAAAATCCTCAGAGCTATTTCTAAAGTCCTCAGAGCTATTTCTAAAATCCTCAGAGCTATTACTAAAATCATCTGAGCTATTATTAAAATTCTTATGGTTGGATTCCACTCTCAGGTGCTGTTCCTAGGGCAAGTGTGTGTTGATTTGTTGAGTACTCGTTGGCTGAGAGTCTTAAAGCTAGTGTCCAGTGAGTCAGTGTGGAAAAAAGGTAGTTCGTTTTGTTTGTTCCCGTTTCCACTCATCCCACACTCCAGTCCATCCTGTCCATCCTGTCAGTCACACACCTCACATTGCAGCAAAGTGATTTGATTTTCACTCAGGGCCAAGTCTTGGTCTGTTTGTTGCAGAGTGCCTCAGCCCTTACTCTTTCAAAATGATGACAATGCATCAGATGCGGGCCGATGCGCTTTCGATTTCTACCTTCAAAGCTCTTGGGTCTAATCCCTTCCCCTGCCACGCTAGACCCTGGTAAACATGTTCGCATAAACTATCTCAGCTGCTGTAGTGTATTGTGTACTGGGTGTGGTGTGGTTGTTGTTTTATTTTGTGGCTGAGGTTTGGATGCCCAAAAGGATCCCAAAATGGATGGCATCTCACAGTGATTTACACTGTTTGGCCAAGTACCCCATGAAAAACTAATCTATGGCTCGCTGTCACAGACTCAGCTCTTCTTCCTTTTACGTTCTGCCCCCTGCTGCTTTTGCACACGCTGCTGCTTCTTGCCCAAGTTCTGCGTGTCTGAGGACTTGCGCTTTTTCTTTTTAGCTGCCTCCTCACCCACATCGCCTTCATCCAAGGGGTTGCCAGACCTCAGCCAGTTCTCCACCTTGGTCTGCAGGTCCTGTGGCAAGTCTGCCTTGGACATTCCAAGACTGGCCCCGAACTGGATGGCTTTGGCCCAGTTTGCCTTCCGCTGATCTGCATCAAGGCCCTCCTCCGGGTTGACCACCAAGGCGCCCACAGTCAAGAGGATCACAAATACCGAGACATTGTGGCGGTATTCCTGCAAACAATATAGAACCTGCTAGTAGCCACTTATTGCTTACTGTTTACTTACAAAATCTTACAAATCAACTGCAAAGCAAAAACAGTCTCATTGATACTGGAAAGGGTCCTAGACAAAAGAGTGACATAATCATATGACTCATCACAGGACTCATACGGATACGATATCATATGATTAGAGCAAGATAAACTTATATTATATATTTATATGATAGATAATATGATATGATGATTTATAATATATGATTAGTTCAATGAAGTTCAATGCCAATATTAATATTGCCAACTCAAAGGCTAAATCAACCACGTCTTAGTCAGTCCTTAGTCCTTAGTCTCAGTTCCCCTAGTCTTTTCGGTTTGTGTGTGTATGCCTTATGCCCGTTGCTGTCCTCACAGCTGGTCAAGGATTCCTTCAAGGTCTTCTCACTGATAGGGAAGGTGCCAACACCCTGGACAGCTTTGAGAAGCGGGATGAACTTGCCAAAGGCATCTCGATTCTCCAGAAGCTCCTGCAACTGCACCTTCCGTTCCTCCTGCTTCTCTTCAGAGCGGTCGAACATCCAGGACACCTTCTCATATGTCCCTTGCTCCATAGCACCAACGAGTGGCCTGAGGCAAGGCTGTTTGCATGATATGATATGTTAATGTTATTCTATTTTGTTTATATTCAAATAAACACTGACACACTGACAGTCAGAGTCACAATTCAGGGTCACGGTCACCTATTTGTCTACCCCACGCATTGTCAAACCAAAAGGTCAATTCAAACCCTGGACCCTCAGAACCTACCACTAGATAATTCAGCCAACAAACACTACACACCCCGATAGTCACTACAGCCACCAAATGCCACCAAAACAATAATTGGATGAAATAATTTGAATGAATGAATCAAATAATGAATGAATGAAGGAATTCATGAATGTCATTGAATGAGTGGTTTAATTAGTTGACGTCTGTGTCTGAATGAATGAAATAGGTCATATTGGAATGTTACCGGAATGTGAATGTGTATGAATGCGGGATGTGATGTGCCTGAACTTGTCCAAGTCCTCATGGGCTTGATTGAGGTGCTTTATCTTGTCCTTCATCCATCCCTTGATGCTGACGCTGAAGCGGGACATGAAATCCTCAATCTTGTTGGCAAAGTCTGGCATTGTCTCCTGCACAAAAGTCTTGTCCACAGACTGGACCTTGAGATAGAGCGGTACAGCGTCCTTCAACTTGTCATAGTCACGCTTGTCTAGTTCGACGGCCAAGGATGCTGGGGAAACGGTGTCACAGACCTTGACATCATTGACGATTTGCTGCACAGGTCCAGGCACTTTGCATCCTTTCAAGGCAGTTTGAAGTCTGCTGATCACGCCTGGCAATCCTTCAGATTTGAGGAAACTCTTGGCGTACTGGACACAGCCTTTTGCCATCAAAGCTTCCAGCCTCTCGAGAGCTTTGGAAGCAGCAGCAATGACGGGGAACTTGTCTTGAATCATGGCGTCCAGCCGCAAAGCATCCTGAACAAATGGCATGGCTTCAGACCAAAGCGAGGCTGCCCGAGAAAGGATGAAGCAATCTTCTTGCGCGTAAGGTCCATAGAGTATTTGGCAGATCTTGGACACAAGAGCGGAGACTGGTTTGGGCGATGTCCCCTCCATACCTTCGCCAAAGTAGAAGTGCAACCGGCCTGAAAGGTATGCGGTATGCAGGAAGTGAAGGGATTTAGCCAAGGAGATTGGCACAGGCAACAAAAATAAAACAGCAACAGTAGATCAATGTGGGTAAATGTGGGTACAAACAATCAATGACAATGTGACAACGTGATAAGAATACTAGAATAGTAATATTAATATAACAATAGTAAATATAAATATAATAGTTTTCAGAATATAATTTATAGTTAAGTGATTTTTGGTATACGTAGATTTGGGGCTGTATTGATGACCTCCTTCATTTAACCTGGGAGAATGGAACTCACCCCCACACTGAACAATTGAACCACACACATGGTCACAAGAACCCACAAGGCCGACGAAAAGAAAAGTGCCTGGCCTGCTTTGACGTTCTGTACGAGGACAGTGTCAAGATCTTCTTCATTTGGTA